CTGGGGTCGCCGCGCTCCACCGGGGGGCGCAGAGCGTGCGCAGGGCCGGGCGGCGCGCGCAGCTGCTGGCCTGCGGGTATTCGTGTGTGCGCGTGTACGAGTAAGAGTGTGCGTGTGTAGATCATTGTAGAGTCACTTGCAGTTGTAATAATTCACTCTGCCCGCTTTTCCCCAGCGCTATCACTTTGCAAAACTTTGCAAAAAAAATAAAGTCTGCCATCACAACCAGGATACTGACTTAGATTCAATCCACTGATCTTATTCAGATTTCCCCAATGTTACTTTTTCTCATTTGCTGTGTGTGAGTATTAAGTTCTACACAGTGTTACCACCTGTGTAGGTTCCTGTTTCCATCACCAGTGAAGGTACAGAACATTCCACCATCAGGGACCCCTCTTGTGGCCCTTTTATAACCGAATCCCGAGCACTGACCGTCACTAATCTTTCCTCTCTTTCTTTTTTTTTTTAAATATTTTATTTATTTAGTTTCCCCCCAAAGCCCCAGTGGATAGTTGTATGTCATAGTTGCACATCCTTCTAGTTGCTGTGTGTGGGATGCGGCCTCAGCATGGCTGGAGAAGGGGCGGGTGGGTGCGCGCCCAGGATTCCAACAGCGGAGCGCGCACTTAACCGCTAAGCCATGGGGCCGACCCCTTTCCTCTATTTCTAAAATTTTATTTCAAAATATGTTTGCGCACAGGAATCATACAGTATGGAATTTGGGGGAGTTGGCTTTTTTCACTCAGCATAATTCCCTGGCAATTCATGTCTCGCATTTTTACACCGAAGTTTCCACTTCAGAAGTAGTGGAAACTACTTTTTTTTCTTCACCCCAACAGCAAATCTAAAATCCGTTCCAAAGATAGCAGGGGTTCCCCCAGCTTTTCCTAGAAAACAGCATCTTTTTACATGCATAACAGGTTGCTTTAAAAGGAAAGATGCTTTTCCACCTTTGGGGGGAAAAAAAATTCCCAGAGTGAATGTGCTCAGCTCTTGGAAAGATATCTGGGTCAGAGGTCGAGAAGTGTAATCGCAAACTTCCACACCTAAAAACAACTCATTCCTGTAGGCCTGTACAGTGAGGGAAGATTTATTTTTGGATGAGATGAATAATGGGGGGCAGGACGGGGGAGATAAAGGAGGGAGCATTCTAAGGACGTTAACTGTGCTTTTGTGCTACTCACCTAAAAAGAGAGGCTGATCTGAGCCGGCGTATGGAAGCCTCAGACTCAGCTGCTACACACCCTACCTTCCACTGGGCACATGATAATCTTATGTTACAGCCAGTAATTGAGCCTCATTTCTGTTTGTAAACAGCCCACTGCCTCCCGTCCCCCACCGGGGCTTCTCTTTGGAGAACAGGTGGGAACATGACCATGCTTGTTCCGGGCCTCTTGGGAAGACCAAGCAGCCACATCCTTTCCCACATCATCCTGAAATCAAAATTAATCTCCTTGAGACTGGAGTGGCAAATGATTGTTTCAAGCTTGTTTGTAGCAAATGTAACTAACACTTAAACTAACATTTTAAAAATAATTGGGATTTTGAATCTATAAAGATAACTTGAAAGTAAACATAGTCATTCTTTCAGTGGGAGAAAAAGGAATTGACTGGAAGATGAGTCATTTGCACTGTTTCCGGGGTTCAGCTCAAGGCACCCTTCTTTAGACTCTGTGAGGACTCACTGTCTTACCTGCATGAAGTTCAGCAGCAGAGGTGACTAACAGTCCACACAGTCTAGTAATAAAACATACCAATTTCGTTTATTTAATCATCTGCTTGCTTCACTCCACAAATATTTATGGAGTGTCTGCTGCAGGCTCAGCACTGGGCTCCTGGACCAGGGAACCAGGGCCCACAGAGGCCTCCTTCACAGCCGTCCCCAGGCAGCAAGTGGAGAGGGGAGGGCAGCCAGGGCTGGGTGGACTGGCAGGGCTCCACCTCAGACTGGGCTGTGTTCCTTACACAGGCCACTCCACGCACTCTGAGGGGCTCGGTCCATTTAATCTGTAAAAGGAAAACCAACTGCCTTGTAGGAATTGTGAAGACGGCAGGGTTCTAGACCCTCTGGGATTACAAAAGAGCAATTGTTATTTATGTTAATGGCTATTGGTCTTTGGCAGTTAAAGTTGACATTTCCAAGTATAAAAGTAACTTCCAGTTTCAATCTTTAATGATTATTTTAGCATTCTTTATCTTATAACAGAAAGGATAAACCTTTGTGGTTACTCCGTGCCCATCCAAGAAACCCCAAAGATAGGTTAGATATAGAAGACGTCTTACTATTTTTCACAGAGAAAACTTGGCATTACATTACATTCAAAGTGTCCAAAGAAAAGAAAATATCTACAGTCTTATTTTGTGAAAATATCTAACATAAATACAATAGCAAGTAACAGTGACAAACTAGGTGAAAAGATTTAAAATGAACACAGTAGCAAATCATTTTGTTAAAATGATTTAAATCATTTAAAAGGCACCAACTATGAAGATCCATCATTTTTGAACTGTAGATGTTTTATCACTTGCAAACTTTTAAAAAAGTAAATCCTAACATAGCATTTTATGTATGAGATTAAGCATTTGCAAATTGAAATTTAAAGCTTTTAATGTTAGTTTTAAAATACGTCTATATAATAAAATAAAAAATAAAAAGTACAATAAATCTACAGAATATTAAATAAGACAAAATGTTTATTAAATTGAATTTTCCACCCTAATGAACTGTAGCAATTTTCTTAATATACAGAGAAACCTTATCCATAATTTTTTAAACATTCATATTTTCTGAAACGATTGAACACACTAACAATGTCAATAATTTAAATCAACGAAAACCTTTAATCAAAGCATAGAGTTTCACTTTAAATACATTTTGGCGAAATGTTAAAGTGGACGAATTTAAAGAAAAATATTAGTGCAAGTTTTGCATCCGGGACTTGAGAGGAGGCCGTCGAGACAATTAACGTGACCACGTCTGTGACCGGCCGGGGTGGACCGCTCGCGTGGAAACCGATCAGCACAGACCGTGGGCGCACGGCGCCAGGCACACCGTGCGGCTCTAGGCTGCATGATTTGGGGGAGGTGAGCCCAGAGGACAGGAAGCTGAGAGACAAGACACCTGACCCGGCCTGGGCGCGCGCCTGAAGAGGGGAGGGACCGCGGGGAGGGAGGTGCGAGCCCCCAGGGCTTCTGCTGGCCCTCTTGCGTAAGATTTCTCAAGTCCGCTTCCTCCTGCACCCGGCCCTCGGACAGCGCATCTGAATAGGCGGCCCCTCTGCTTCAGGTCCTCCCGTGTGCCTGGCGCCGACGGGATGTCCCCTTCTCCACGTGGCCATTTAGCACCGCGCGCTGACGCTGCGAGCCTTTGAGTCCCACCGTGGGGACAGACGGACCCGGCGGGCCAAGGAGAAGGCGCGTGCGAGGACTCTCCTGAGGCGGGGTCCCAGCACCGTGACCACGGGTGAGTTTTCGGGTCCCTGAAATGGGGGGATAGGGGCCCCTGCCTCAGGATGGCCGTGGGGCTCCAAGGAGGTGTGCCTGGCAGGTACCAGGCGATGGATAAACAGCGCCGGTTATTTATTACTTCTGACGCGTGCGTCTGCTCCGTGAGGTTTAAACCCATCTTGGTCCTCCTCAGGGTCCCCGGAGCAGCGCACTGCCCTGACACAGCCCTCCCAGGCGAATGGCTCACTGGGGTCCTGGGGCCAACCCCGGACTGACCGAGCTCTCCGGGGCCCAGAATGAAGCCAGCGCCTCCAAGGTCTTCCCGCTTGACCGGCCCACAGGCAGGCGCAGGGGAGCCCTGGCTGCAGGTGGCGCCCTCGCCTGCTCTCCTCTCCTTCCCCTCGTCCCTCCCCTCCCCTTCCCTCCTCTCCTCCTGCCCCCTTTCCTCCTCCCCTCTCCGCCCCTCCCGGCGACTCCTCCAAGTCCAGCCCCTTTCTGCTCGCAGGCTCCTCCCCACGAAGGAGACCTTGCCCTCCTCCACCTGCGCCTCGTGCTGCAGCTTGCAGGGCTGTTGTTGAGCATTCCCTGCATAATTCGAATGTTATTTGCTAAAAGAACATAAACTGTTCACTGCTGCGATGCTGCCTTCGTTAATTCTGAAAAAGTGATTTGGGAGTGAGATTCTGTGGCAAGGATTTCCAGAGCCACCCCTGGGGCTGGGGGGAGAAAGGAAGGGGGGGCTGACTCCCAACTTCCAGCTTTTCTCAAGCAAATATTTTCTTTTGCACAAACCTGCCTTTTCAGAGACACCGCCTCCATTGACTCCAGGGGTCCCACTTGTGTCATCCCCGGGGGTCTTCCTGTAAGATCATTCATTCATCCCATGCCCTGGGGACACACTGGCCAGAGGCGTGGGATCCTGTGCAAGAGCCAGCATTAAACAGGTGCTTGTTGAGTTACACTTACACTCTTGCTCTCCCTCTCCTCTGCACCCTCCTCCTCCACTCTCTGGTCTTCAAGTGTTGGGCTCCTTAAGCCCCAGTCCAGGCCCTCTTCTCCCTCACTGCGTCCTCTCCTCTGTATCCCTCATGATCTCCTCCAGGCCCACTGCCTCAGTTTCCATCTATTCAGCAAATACTCCTACATTTATATCTCTAAGCGAGACCTCTCCTCTGAGCACCAGACCACAAAATCCAACATGGCACCCACACTAGGATATCTCTAAGATGTCTCAACACGTTTGAGATAAGCCTATGATTTTTGCCCCCAAACTGGTTCTTTCCAGAGCCCCCATCTCTGTGAATAAACTGGCTTCTGTTCTGAAGTCAGTCTGCAGTACCTGCTGCCCCCTCCATCCCACAAGATCCAGTCCATCGCCAACAGCCCCACTCTAGACCTGGACAAGAGGCCCGCCTGGCCCACTCTCC